AGACATATTAAGTGGGTCTTTAAGCTTTACATGAGTACTGCTCTTTTGTACTAAGCTCTGTCAAATGAATTTTGGTTTTCCTGCTGAGAAAGGACATATTAAGTGGGTCTTTAAGCTTTAGATGATAAAAAAATGTCAAATGTACACAACTCACCAGACCCCTACATTTGTTTTTAGGTTCAATGGTAAATGGATGGGGTTCTGCGTCTGATGAGGACCGTAACTTTTCTAGTCATAGATCTAGTGTAGGTAGCTCCTCTGATGACTCGATCTTTACCAGCGGCAGTTTTGCACAAGCACTGGTTGCAGCAGCAGATAAAGCTGGTTTTAGGCTGGATGGAACCAGCCTGACAAGAACAGGTTTGTAGACTCAAAGTTGATGCTTTCTGCATGAAGGGTGTCTCTGCCTATTCTTCTCTTTTCAGTCAACCTGCGTCTCACACTTGTCTAACATGCATGGAATAAGGTGTATGGAGATACTTTTATCAGTATATTTTAAATGAAACGTTGCATTATGTTTCATTTTTAGAGATTTGAAATATTGAATAGCACTAGCCTTTAATCTGCACCTTCAGTCTGCTGCCGTTTCCCTCTGTGCTGACTTTGCTATAGATTTACTGACATATGCTCTGTTTAATATTTCAGTGAAGAGATCACTAATTCTGCCATGCAGTCTTTGATGATTTAGTTTTTGTGCAAAATCTCCTCATAATCATTCACATTCCAGCGATGAACATTATGTTTAAACCCTTATCTCCATCCCTACTCTTCTGTTGCACCTCTTCTTGTGAAAGTGTATTCTTCTGTGAAGTTTTTCTAAGCATGGGGTGAATTTGTGTGCTTTTATTGTTAACAATACAAACTGTTTAAAAGTGTTATTAATAGCTGATTTTAAAAATACTTAATTCAACAAGTTAATATATTTTGATAAAATTTAATTTTACTTATGCCAACAATCCGCCAAGTTAAATGTAACAAAGCTAAAGTGACTATTGTTTTTGAAAACAGCTAATCTTCTAAAATTAATCAATCAAAAGTAAACATAATTCAGTTTATACTTTTAAAGCTTTGTAATTTTTATTTCTATTAAAAAAAAATGGTACAAACAATTGTTAAATATTCTGGAAAAAAGAAAAGAAGGCATTTGTATTTGCTTAGTTTTAGCAAAATAGCAAAAATAACTAACAGTTTAAATCCACAAAGCTAATAGCAGAGTGTGAAGTTGAGTCATATTTTTGTTATGCCTTCTGAGCCAGTTCCTGCCCACAGGTCCCATAATGTTCCTATCATTTAAAAAAATTTTATTATTAGTCTTGTGTGAAGTCTATCCTTCAGTAAAATGTGTGCATTATGAGACATGTCCCCACATGTTAGGGCTGAAAAACACAGTCTTTTTGCATAAAATGACTTCATAGGAAACATTGCCTTTTTGGAACATTAGGAATGAAGAAATAAATCAGTGACACAATCCTGTGTCACCAACAAACAACAGGGTGAGGAGATACAGCTTTTCTCATATCATTGGGACTTTTGCCATTGACTTTGTCAATCACCCTTAAAAGACATTAGTTTCACCATTAAACATAGTTAAAACCCTTACTTGTTTCTTACACTAGTGGAAAATGGACCAAGTAAATCTGCCTCATCGTTTGAAAGCAAAAGAAAAAATAACAAAAACAAAAACAAAACAAAACAAAACCAATGTAGTTCTTCACATGTCTACTATGGGTGCATATAGCCAAACCATGATTTAAAATGTACTGTTTTGCTTGGAGTTTCCTAAACAGTCTTGAATGAAAGGAGTACATTCTTTCAACTTTTTTTTGTTGTTGTTCTTTGCCTCAGTAAAAGCTAATGCAAAGATTCACCCAGTGTTAATGTGGTTTGTGTCAGGCCACCAAGAAATACAGTTTCCACCAAAACCACACATATAACAGAAGTAAATGGACACACAAAGAGATAGATGCTTTAAAATAATTTCTTATTGTAGCTATGTAAATAGAAAGTACAAGGAAAGAATAAGAGCCCTTTTGTAAGTTATATTTTCCTGGCTTGATTAGGTCACAAATGCACTTAAACTGAGTATTTGCATGTAGTTTCTCACACTATTAGAGTTTAGGGTACAAGAAAGTATCCAACGGCTGTGGTACATACTTTATGATTATTACCTTCTCACTCTTTTTAATGATCCAACAGGTGAAACAGAAACAAAACCCACATGTAAACAAACAGCCCTCCCCTCTTTTCCTCACAAAAATCTCAGCAAATGGAAATAACTCCCCACGGCATACTGCAGTTTCATTACGAAATGATACCTCCCAGGGCAGCATGGATCAATCAGACATGCCCATTATAGACCTGCTGCACCACAGCAAACCCCACGTCGTGCAAAATGGTGTCTTGTAAGTGGAGAAGCAGCAGTGTTATTTCTGTTCATTGCTCTGGAGGGAGTCTGAAGGTCCTGACCCTTTACTCCTTCGCAGTCTGGACATTTTCACCTATTCAGAACAGCTGTGAAATATTTTCACTGATGCAAAAGAAGTCCAACTTGCTAGCCTCGTACGGTTTTATTTGATTGCCAAGCATCAAATTACTGGTGCAAAGCATCATTTACCATACCTGGTAAATCTGGGTACAAGGCGTCTCTTCTGCCAGACACTTTGATTCCAGTTTCCAGAAGCCATCATGTGATTTGCCATGAAGTTCAGGCAGTTTTCCTTTCTAACACCCTTGGGAAATTAAACCAAGAATTAGTGGATTCATCCTTGTCTCCACTTACACTAAATCTACTACAGAGAGTCTGACACTGCTCAGCAGTTCTTACTGGAAGGACTGCATACAAATAGAAGGTGCTGTGATCAGCTGTTAGGTGCACTGAAAAGTGCATTTTGGGAGCCTGCTCGTCATTTGTGTTTGCCCCATGTCTGATTTAGGTGAGTGCTATTTGTTTCCCTTCACTTTCATGGAGGGATGAAAGAGAGAATGTTTGGTGTCTATTTCTTTTTCAAACCGACATTCTGAACGAATAATCACATTTCTTTAGTCAAAAGAATAAGTGAGAAGAATCTTTGTCCTGCACTTACTAGTTGCACTTGCATGTTGCGAGTTTATTTTTGAAAAACATCTGTGCAATGTGCTATGAGCTAGGATGGAATTTCAGGCCCATATCTGAATTTCTTTGCATCAGTGGTCTGTTTTATTTTTAAATGAAATTTTAATATTTTGTCTGTGTTCATCTGCTGTTTTATATTTATCTAGGAAACAAGGACTTGATTACTTGTCTTTGTCTGGCTGCAGCTGTGCCAGCTATAGAGGTTAATGTTTCCAGCCTTCCCCCAAATTCTTATCACTGCTTTCTTTCAGCTCCAGAATTAGCTGCTTGGGTGGGTGTTCTGTAACCAATTTCAGTTAAAATGAGACAGGTTAGCAAAGGCCTAGTTTTCGTACTCCTTAAGTTCAACTGGGCATATTTTGGTAAAGGAGAGTTAGGAAATGTCCAGGTGAGGGGTTCAAATGAGGTAACCTCCAATCCCTGGGAGTGACAGGCAGCTGGGAGACAAGCTTGCCTAAGAGCAGTGTCCTTCTCAGGGTGCACAGCAGTCAGAAGGTAGAAGATCAAGCCTGCGACAGTCAGGAAATCTCTCAAGTCAAATACTGAGATGTTATTCTAACATGTGTGTATTAATTTGAAACACCATGTTAGAGAGATTATGGCTACTTTTTCTCAGTTTGCCCTGTTTGCACTGAGAATATTTCAAATAGTGTAGCATGTAACATATTACTACTCATTAGGCTTATCTAGATCAGCTTGTATGTGATGGCATATTGGAAGTGGGCACATCTGTTGAAAGGTTGCTAGAAAACGTAACTCACATAAGGGTAGACCCTGGTCTAAGTTAACGAGAAAGTTAAAAACCCCCTTACTAGCTTGTGATCAGTTGACTAGAAAAATAGCTAATAGCCATTTTGTCATTTTCCATCGTCTCTTAAACAATTTGGGCCTACAGTAGCACTGAAAGAGTAGAAGTTGACTGGTTCATACATCTTCTACTGCAAATAGGTTTAGAACATATAAGAATTTTAAGTACTAGTCCTGAGCTAATTAATATGTTAGCATCCCCAGGATACTTGGCAAGAATGACATACAGATGAAAAAAAAAAGAAAGTGAAAGATGGTTTTCATCAATTATTTTTAGTTTTCATCAATTATTTTTAAACAAGCATAGTTAACTGAATGAAAATGTCAAAATAAGAGGAAGGAAGTGTAATAAATGAACTGTGTTCTTACAGTTCCTTCATGATGCTTTTAATGATCTGCTCCATAGAACAGCATCAAAGATTTTTTTTTTTTTAAACGCAGATAATGTTTCTTGTTTGGCCTAAAAAAAATATGAGGAATAAGTTCGGTCACAATACATTATTTTTTTCAACATATAAAAATACTGAAAATTAACAGGAAAATTTTAGCATTTAAATAAACCCCCATTTTTATTTGTGGAGAAAAGAGATCCCTTAAGTATGCACACTGTTACATAGCTTGCAAAATCAGTTATGTTTGTCTCACTGGAGTTACTCCAGATATACCGTGCATATGGGAGCCCCTAAAATGAGAATCTGGCTTGACAAACATGAAGGTGGAAAGAAGGAGGAGATAAATTTGGTATGATTGCAGAACTGTTTTCCTTCGCTGCTCAAGGCTGAGGAGTTGTTATGACACATCTGTTCAGCACACAGAGCAGGTAGGAGTTACATGGCATACAGTAATTTTATCACAACAGATGGAATGATTTTAATTATGAAAGTTAAAGACAAAAGAATGCCAAGTTTCTCACTTCGCTTGTTGTGGTGTGTCTTAAAGCAGTTGTCATCAGTGAGTACCTCAAGGGGACACTTGCTTGCCTCTGAGAATTAGACCAGATTTAATGTTTCAGAACAGACGTTAACAGAGCAGCCCATTTCAAGGCAATAACAATTTTTCATCTGGTTTCTCTGTTTTTTAGGCAAAGCATATCCTTCCTCTCAGAGACCTCGGCCGAGCAGTCCTTTTTCTACTGACAGCAACACCAGTGCAGCTGTCAATCAGAGGCAGAGGCCCACTAAAAAACACAAGGGAGGACGGTTGGACCAACCCCCCTTGTCTCATCGTAGGGAGGGCATAACAGATGGTAAGTGTTGTGGTGAAGTCCCCGATGACAACCTGCAACAAGCAGGTGTGCAGAGGAGGATAAGGTAGAGCAAGCTTTTAAGGAGTACACGTTACGGTGATTTATTTATTTGGTGAAGTAGGGTCCCCAGGTTGCCACAGGAGCAATATTGCAATGCTGGCTGTGTGGAGCTTGGTTAAGTGAGTCTTCAAGGAGCCTTTCTTCATTTCAGCTCTGAACACGTTAGCATCTCTTAGATTTTCTCAGATGTCACTATAAGTCTTACGCCAAAATGACTGCATTGCACAGGAGTTGACATTAAAAAATGGCCTGTGGGTAATTTTACAGTAAATGAATGTAGCTACCACCAGCAATAGCAGTATGCCATGAATTCCTAAGGAGAACCATAGACCCAGTCCCACAATGCTCTGTTTCTTTTGTGCTGATTTTGACAGCCACCCAACAGCTACAGTGATATATGGCATGATTTTCTCATGATTCTACCTCACGTCTTGTCCGTGCTGCTTCATTCCTGACATTCACTGACCTCAGTAACTTTGTTTCCCTTTTTGAATCTCCACTTCTCTCTGACCAGTGCTTCCCATGTAGAAATTTCAGGCATGTCTGTTCTGCTCTTCTAATGACTAGGAGCAGCTCAGTCTTCCATTGTCTGTATACTCCTTCTTGAGTTTGACAAAAGACAAATTGCTGCCTGTTACTCTTTGAGGAGGACTGAATAGGAACGTGGCTAACTGGCTACCTCCCACTCATTTCTTCTTATCTCTGGCCTGGCCCCTGTAGGTGTTGAAGTGATCAGAGAGGAGAAACAGGCAAATGGAATAGATTTGACTGAGTGTACATTTAGTTTGGTTTATTTATAATGTGCTATTTATTATTCTAGGTACATGTATAAAATATATTAATAGCTTGCAAGGTGTACTGTGGCCACTGAACCCACCAGACCCCTCTTCCTAGTCATGTTGTCAGATGTACAGATAAAATTTTGCAGTATGCCTAACAGATTCCCTCTTTGTCAGACCACAAAGATGAAGAACAGATTCCAGAAGTGAAAGTCTTCACCAAAGGGCTTATTGTTACATCTCTAAAGTAGCTTAGACTCCACTTGTATGGATCTGAACTGATTTAAACATTAATGCCCTCCCCTTCTGTTTTTGAGATGTCTCCAGTCCTTTCCCTTACAACTGTTTCCTCTTGGATTTCTCATATGAGAACATGCTTGGTTTATCAGTCATCTTCAAATTCCCAAGCTGGATGAGTTCTAGCATCCTGTGTATGTGTCTCATCACACACTGGATATCTTCTCATTTTCATTCACCAAGTAAGCTCCAGCCATGTCCTTTCTCCTCCCTTTCCCATACACATCCTGAGCACTTCTTCCTTGTTAACTGCACCCCCATGGGACAGTGCAAAAGATCTAAGAAACTGTAATATTTAATGTATAGCACACAGATCCCAGACTATGTAAGCATATTAGGGTACAGCTTCAAGCTTACTCTTGACAGCAATCCACAAAAATCCCTGAACAGCCTGCTTCTTCATTTTCTTTGGTCACAGGTCAGAATTCTCTAGCAACTGACTCTAGATTGAGTCTTTGTATTTATCTTGCTGTACAACTTGGGTTTTTAACTTCTGCATCCTAGAAGACCATGGAGACAACAGCAAATCCACAGAGAAAGAATACCTTTTGAATCCCTCAGGCAATGAAAACTTTCACTCTGAGCTCACAGTCTACCATAAAAAAAAAAAAATAAATAGGAGGGGTGTAGTTCTAGTGCTTAAGGAATAATTTGTTTTCCTGGAAAAAATGTAGTCACAAATTGCCAAACCATGGAATCTGCCATATAAGTGGTGGCAGGGTAACTACATGACTGAAGTTAAAAATTCTTCCTTAGCTGAGCATGATATTTAAAAAAAAAAAGAGGAAGCAGAAGGAAAATATGCTTAGGGGTTAAAAAGGAGAACTGGAACACAAGACTTCCATTAGTTTTACCAATAACTTGTTATTGTGTATTACAAATCAGTTTTTACTAAGGTAGATCACTGTAGAGAAGATGCTTACCTTCTGATGCTAGAAAGTGATTCAGAGGTTTATTAAATGTCACAGTAATTGTCACCCTTAGGAAAACAAATAACTGGCACAGGTAGAAAGGGATATCCTTATACTTGTAGGTTCTGTAACTTGCTTTTTGCAGTTAATGATGAGAGGCTGTGCCAAGGCTTGACTGGTGCCCAAATCATGTGGCCAATGCTCTGCTTTATAAGGAAGAGCAGGAGTAATCCCAGGCTGAACATCCATCTGCCTCTTATCAGGCACTTGTCCTACAGCTTCTCAAGCACAGTGCCTGCATTCCTAAATCAACAAGACCATCAGCTGCCACCAACACACTTATAAATTGCCTTGTAGGTTTGATAATTCTGCCATTAGAGGCTGTAAGTGGTAGTCTAGATGACAACTCACTGGTCTAGCAAGTTACTAGATCAATGTGGGTTTTGAAGTGCTTTACCTGCATCTGGAAGATAAGTATCATTTAGATGGAAGTACCATGACAATCGGTGATACCACTCTGAGTATCCTCACTCAAAATCCTGCTGAGGTCCCTAAATTTCTACATTCAAAACTGAATTGTGATTGACATGGTGGAATGGGTTGGCTTGCCTCTGTGTGCTGATAAGTCTGCCTGTTAGTGACTGAAACTACTAACAAATCTGATCTCTGTTGGCTCTTTACTAGCAGTGAAAATGCCAACCATTAACCATCTTGTATGTGCATACTTGCAAGTGTGTGTGGAGACATGTGCACAGTTACATATAGACAGGTTTGACTGGGAAGGGAGAGGAGAGGTAAGACTGGAGGAGGAAAATTGTGACTCCAGATACACAGGGTCTCTATATATGTCTAGATATATATATATATATGACCAGGCAAGATAACAGAGCATATTTAGTAATTTAACCAAAGCAGAAGATTTCCACTGCAGGATTTAAGTTGTAGGGCAAATAAAAAGCCATTTTCCAAAGGAAGCTCTCTTCCATCTTCTTTTGTTAATAAGGAAAGGTAGGTCTTACTGTGACAATCAACCTCAGTAAGAAGGTGAAAAAGCAAATGGTTTAGTCTGGTAATGGTTGGCTAGAATTAGTAACTTTTCTTGCAGATATTCTCAGACTTGTCTAACACAGTTCAATAACTCTGTTCTCAGGCTGGAGCCATCTTACATTAATTCCCTAGTACCTGTAGCACTTCTAGAATTGTGTGAAGCTTCATTAGAAGACAAATTTTATTTTTAATTTCAAATCATCCACACATCTGAAGAACTCAGAAAACTTTACAAACGCAGTTTTTCATTTCACTTCTATGCATAAAGCGATCATTATGTCCATTTTGCACTTGCATAAAAGCAAGAATCAGGTTAACAGTAGATCAGTAGCATGAGTCTACAGTACTTCCAGGAGTTTCAGTGGGCTCTAGAACATACAGTTCAGTTTAGTACAAAGCTTTTTTCCTTTTCAGTATCTAACTATTAATGATTAGGCAGCAATTTCTGAAGAAGGGTACTATATGTAGAAGTGTAATACCTCAATAATTTTAACTTTTTTTTTTTTTTTCTATGATACTACTTGAACTTTTGTTTCTATTAAATGGTAAATATTTTTTATCTTGGAAAATTGCATTGTCAGATGTCATGTTATGACTGTGTTTATAGGATTCAATGCATCTCCTTAAAGTGCTTATAAATCACAGCTTCAGTAATCTCTATTTCAGATTGCATAAGCAGATGCCAGCGTTGTGGTTCTGTACATTAACTGGTTATGATGGCAATAAAATCAATTATAAGAAATGCCATTTTGGAAGCCAGTACTATAAAGCAATTTTAACATTGGCAAGCTCCCATACACTCCTGCTTCCACCTACAGTAACTCAAGTATAGTCATTGTCATGAAAGGTCATATCTATATTCACAACTAAAAATTTCTCAAATAGATTAGTGCTGAACATAAAGCATACACCAAGATCACTGACAGATTATTATAAATCTGTTCTAGCCAGAAGATAAATATCTTAAACTTATAGCACTTCATCTGTGAACAAAGGTACAGGAGCAACATCAGATACAACTTAGTTCCCCTGCAGACACAAATAACCCAGACATCCTCATTTATCTTTAAGAGACAATGTTGACTGGAATGACATCTCAGCAATTTTGGAAGCATTTCTGCCCCATATATGAGGTATAAGTGCCACCTCTAACAGCAAGGACATGAACAAAAAATCTGTGTAGCAGGATATAAAGCTGGATTACAGACTTTGAAATAAATTCCCTCCAAAGACCTCCTCACTGATCTGTAAAATTAATTTCAGTTTCACTAGAGTTATAAACAAGCAAAGGTTTACTTTCCATGCCTGTTATTGAGCCATGTTCAATTCCTTCATAAACCTTCACAACACTGTAAAATGCAAAAGACTGGAAAGAAGGACAGACCCTTATCTAGTGTAAACTAACGTAGGTTTAATGAAGTTGGTGGGGCTGCACAGGTCTATTTGAGCTTTGCATTGCCCAAACCTAGAATTATCAATGAGTGTTCGACATAAGAAATGAGTATCCCCTGTGGAGAGTTTTCGTTACGTACTAAAGGTGCTTCTCTTTTGTAACTTTTCGATTTTGATTTTTTAAAAAAAATATTCATATGTGTATATAGTCTGAGGGTTTTCTGGACTATTATAAATCTATCATACAGTTTACATGGAAATTTTACACATAGAATTATAATCATACAGTTTCTATAATTAGCTGGGTCAAGGACTAAGGAACCTATGTACTTTTGCCTCCACAAATGTGATTAGAAGCTTGATCTTCAGTTCTGTGAGCATCTTAGTAGTTTCAGTGATAAACTTGAAAATGACAGTTGCTGTTAGAGACCATGCAAGGGTCTTTCAGTGTTCAGCTGAAACTGTATTTTGATTGGTTATTTTTACAAGACCACTAAACTTAAAAGTGTCCATCCTCTTGTCAGTGGAGAGTCTAGCTCTTGGCTGGACTTTCAGATAGTATTTGAATAAAATGCTTGCCTCTTGTTTGGCGATTCCATTTGAGCATGCATTTTACACAGATGTGTTGACGCTTTTTCAATGGCAGTAGGCTTTATGAATAATTTTTGCCAAAACTTGTATGGAATTTGATTCATTTTGGGAAAGTCATTTATTTAGATTTTGAGTTTAAACTTCAAGCTGAAATCAAAGCCCAGAAACAGAGCTGATGAGGCAAGCCCCAGTGTGATGGGGGAAAACTGTCAACTGACCCAGATCAGTTTTTTTCATAGCCTTTCTTAACTGCTTGCTGTTACTGAAAGAGCCAGCTGGAGTATACCCCACAGAAAATAAATCCCATGCTTAAAAGTGTATGTCCCCCTGAGTCAGGGCTCAGAGTCTATTGATTTTTATGGAAGTTCGAAAGAGCAAGCAACAGGGTAACGTGAATAAAATCCTAGCAGAAGTTAAAAACAACTTTCGGATTGGCGTGAAATTTCCTCCTTATAACATCAGCGAATGAAGCAATTCGTGCTGTTTGCAAAGGACTTTTCAGCATCACATAGACCTGTGTCAAATAAAAAAATCAGTTCATCTAAATCTTATTCACGTTTTTTAGATCTTCCACCACCACCCGACCCGCCCCCCGGTCAGGGCTTAAGGCAGCAAATAGTCCCCGGCCAGCGCGGAGGCTCGGCAGAGAGGAAAGGAAGCTCTCTTGAGAGGCAGCATGCGCCGAACGTAGATGAAACAAAGAGCTCCCTGGACCGGCAAGCTAGGACATCACTAGAGTGGCAGCGGCAAACCCAGGAGTGGATAAGCTCTACAGACCGCCAGGAGGATTTCAGGAAAGCCCAACACAAACAAGCCTTCGGATCAGGTGTGTGTGTGCTGCACCAGCCGAGGCAACGCAGGCGGCTTCTTGGCGCTTCTCAGCTGACGGTTTCTGTACCTAGGGTCACCTCGTGCCCCCCTGTGCCAGCACTGGTGAGGCTCAGGCTGGAAAATAAGAACAGGCAAAGTGAAGCGAGAGCTTGTGATCCAAGTGTGATCCTCTTGCAACAATGAAATCTCATTAGCACCTGACTCGCTGCATCCTTTAGAGTATTTTGTCAATCAATAATATTGTCAAGCATAGCAGTGGAGAAAACAGCGACAGTTGCAGGCAGGCAGGGAAGGAGAAACAGATTTTTAGAGTATTTTCTCTTTGATGTTTTTCTTTATACGTATTAGACCATATTTTCTAGTTCTTTCAACCTGCTTCTAAATTGACAGCTGTTGGTTTTGCATGTCTGCAAGAAGGCTGAGCTTTCTGAGCTACTGTCATTCCTTCCAGCTGTATTTAAAACATTGTCTTCTCCTTATAGAATCATAGAATCACTGTGGTTGGAGAGGACTTACAGGATCATCAAGTCCAACCACCATCCCAACATTTCCCTATCCACTAGACCATAGCCTCAAGCGCTACATATACTTGATTTTTGAACACCTTCAGGAATGATGACTCCACCACCTCCCTGGGCAAAGTAACATTCATCTCTTAGGCCCGGCAAGATGACAGCACAGGTTTTCACCTTTCATACAGGACTTGCTCATTCTCCAGTGCTCACTTCATCTCCAAAATGGATTTCAAGTCTGTAAAAATGTTTGCAGGAGGAGATGCTGAGCTGGAATTGTAGTTCTACAGTATTTGCAGATTCCTTCTCTCAGGCTGACCTCAAGTAAAAGCTTGTTTCAGTTCTTTGAAACCTGCTGTTTCAGGTCTCCTCTCTAGGGTATTTTCTTTAACCCATTAATCATATGTTATCCCAGTGCTGATTGACATGCTACAAGAGGACAATTAAGAAGATTAAAAAAAAATTAAAATTCTGCTGTACATGGAGTCTTCTGTAGGGCTACACTGTTTCTTCAAGTACGTGTGTAGTTCCCACAGCAACACTATATGTACTCATATTTTCCATCTTTTCCTTGATTTTATTCTACTACTAATGCTCCTTATTAATCTAGCACACTAATATCAGTGACATTCTAAAAAAAAATCAGTAGTATGCAGGCAAGCCTGTCATGGGGGCAGGATTTACAGGATAAAGTCCTCCTAGGAAATCTTGCTAGACATATTTAAAATGTAAATATTTTAAATACAAGTCATATCTTAAAATATAAAAATAATGATACAGTTAAAATGCCCTACTCTTTCAGCTGCATAAACAAGTGAGTGGTTCATGTTTTGAAATGATGCTGTGAAGTCACAGTTAAAAAATAGCATGTGAAAGTCATGCTACTTGGTGAAATGGCAATCTGGATTACAGGAGGTACAAACACATAAAAAATATCCCAAATATACTTTATGCATCTCATTTCTTTGTAAATTATTGTTAAGGATAGTTCTGTAACCTGATAAGCAAGAACTCTCCTCCTTTTCCTCTGCTTCCTAAGAGTACAAATAGAAGCCGATGATTATTCTGTGTTAGAGAGGGTATATAGTAGTAAAATGGCCGTGATACTGCAGGACTTGCATTTATCTGTCCTTAAGTAAGAATAACTTGATCTGGACACTTCCAGTACCCTACATGAGCATTGAAGTTAGGGCTAGAATGATTGCAGGTATCTTGTCTTTGTCAAATTCAGCATGACCAGGACACTTGCATATCACAAAGGGTTCCTCTAGGAGATACTACAGTTTTACCATGGTAGGAGGGGTTCATAAAGTTTGTGCACAAAGTGGGCCAGATCTCCATATCTGTGTATCTTCTCATCCCAGTTTCTTGCACTACATCTTTCTTGCTGCGTACTCTTTTCTCTGGTAGATTTAAAAAAGGCTTCTCTTTTGTGTGATGCTCACTTATATTACTTAATTTGGGGGGTTCCATAATATTAACTGCACTTCTCCCCTTTTCCTTTATTAATGACAAGGATCTCTGGAAATCTGTCCTGTCCCAGTTCTAATATATTTCCAAAATGTGTTAATATTAGTTGTCGGCTTCCAGAAAATAGCTACTTGCTGCTTACGGGGCTTCATTCAGATAATACCAAGCCATGAATGAAATTTTGAAAGCAAGACCTTTGGTTTGAAGTTGAATAGAGTAAAAATATCTAATTCTGGGAACCACGTTTCCACTGGTTGCTTTCAGTACAAACAAGATCACTGAGTTTCTGCCAGTGGCTTCACTGTGGAATTGTAGTTACAGCACATCAAATATGACATTCTCAGCTACCTCTCCAAAGAAAGTAGTACTAGATCAAGTTACAATAGTTTTGATATTATTAAAAGCCTTTTGGTTATCTTATGGGATATGGAAACGTCGTTATACACATACGTCCTGATTTCACAGGGGCTACAATTATGTCTTCAAGGTAAAGGCTCAGTATTTAAAAGAGAAAAGCATCAGCAAAGCCTCCCTGTACCTGTTGCAGGCCTGGGGCATGGAGCACTGTCCTGAGCATTTAATAAATGTGAGCCCATTCTAAGGACTTTAGACCTTTCATGTGCTAGAATGTTGTGAAAAACTTAGCCTTTGTTTTATGTCACAATTGCTTTTTATGGATTCTATTTATTTCTGAGGGCACAACAGATAATTTAACACACCATATGCTCTGTAATGATAATGCACTTTATATTTATTCATGGTCGTTTTTTCTCTATATTTCATTGAACCCGAAGGAGGCCTTATCCTGAGTCCACAAACTAGAAAAACAAATCAATTGACCACATATGTCATCTTCAAACTCTTTTGCAATGCTAGTGGCTTTTCTTTCCATCCTTTAAAAATGTATCCAGCTTTCTGCTAAACTGATTTATGCTGCTTGCTTTATTGCTGCCTTAATGCAAGCTGTTCCACATTTTAGCCAGACTTTGGAAACCAGGTTTGCATCTGATACTATTGTTAGGGCTTGATATATAAAGAACAAGTAACATAATTTAGGAGGCTATGGCTGTTAAATGCCATTTTACTATGTCTTTTAAGTGTTTCTTTATATTTCAGCAAGGACAGCACACGGTCATAGCACAGAACACTGATAATGCCCTTACATCCTGCAGTGCAAATATTCTGGTCCCTCCCTCAGGGGTAGAGGGAGGTGCTTTGGCAGAGAAAGAAGTCCGCTATCTGCCCTCTTCTGCAAGAGATTCACCTTTCAAATGGGTTCCGTTCAATAGCAGATCATATGGGGAATTCCTGTGTCCTACTCACCTGTGGCAGTAGGCACAAAGAAGGAAATCTTGGGTTTTGTGCACAAATTTCTTCCCATTTAGCATTTCCCTGAGTTAATTGTGCCTCTGCTGCAGCCTTGGCAAAGGCTTCAGGATTGTGAATAAAAGCATTTTTATCTCTTCTTTTCAACCACCTCCATCTACTTTTCCTTCTGTGTTCCTGCCCTCTGCCAAAGAAAGTCCGTTTCTGCTCATCAGATTGTTTAAGAATGAAGACAATGAGAAAAGCAAACTAAAGAAACCCCTTTCAGCCCAGATTCACCTTAAAAAATGTAAGATTCAAGCAGGAGATATCCCACCGATTTCAGAAAGGGCAATTCCTCTGTTTGAGGTTAAGCATGTATGAGAATATAAGAATATGAGTATGTTCTTTCTTAAACTATATTTAGCAAGGTCTCTTTCTTCAGCTCCTGAGACAGCAAAACTGGTTCATAAACAGCAAAGAAATAGAACAGTGCTTCTATTTCAGTGTTAAATCAGTCCTGCTGTTTCGCTTCTTAGGTTAGGATTATTGTAACAATAGCTCCTGGAAACTCTAATCGTACGTGATGTCTTGTTTTACTTCATGCTATATGAAGACATACAGTCCTGTGCTTTATTGGTATTAACCCTGCTCTTGCAAGCAGTTCATTATTACAGATCTTCACAGAGGAAGTAGCCAAGTGAGCAAAAGTAAGCCTTTCGCTCATAGTGGAAAAGGGAACAAGCTGCAGGAAGATTTACTCACCCCAAATATTACACTTACTAATACTATGGATAATATAATATTTTCCAATATAATTTACAAGCAGCTAAAAAAAATCTTCAATGTACTTTGCATCGTTAGAAATTAATGAGCTGCTGGAAGCTATTTAGATTAGCTGATATTGTAGTTCTTTATCTAAATTGATTGAGGTAATGTTACCATAATTTCAGCTAAAAAAAGGTAAAAGCACTTTCATGTAAGCTTGAAGCAAAAATCTAATCATAGCGGCATTGTTTTGAAAATTGTATGTGCATCTATTTTTATTAAATTATTTATGATTCATGATCTGTTACTTTATAATGAATCTAGACCTTTTATAATTAATACAAACTAACTCATGAGTTTACATGAAAGCAAGATTAAATTCATGCTGTGTTCTTTGTCTGAGGGATACAACACTGAGTCGTGTATTTTCTTAGGTAAAATTACCATGCTATAAAGCAAGACAAAAGGCAGATATCTGAGGGCAGGAATTAATATGCCGTCCCTATAAAAATAGCTTTTTTATTCCTGTTTATACAAATATATTTGGTATTTATTTTGTTATATTTTGTTTTGTTTTTCTAGAGGAGGCACTCGTACCATATAGTAAACCCAACTTCCCATCTCCTGGCGGCCATAGCTCTTCAGGAACAGCTTCTTCTAAAGGATCGACTGGACCTAGAAAAGGTGAAGTCTTGCGAGGAGGTCACCAACGCAATACCAGTGACCTTCTCGATGTAGGCTATGTGGGATCAAACAGTCAAGGACAGTTTACTGGTCAATTATGTAAGTTTATCTCTAGCTACAGTTCAAACTCTCAAATAGACAGAGAAAAAATTATAAATCTGTTGTGAAGAGAGGAGGAAGTTGAGTGTGATAATCAGATTAAATTCTACCCACATCTTTTTGCCTTCTGACGTGTTTTGCCCATGGTGACAAACAATGAAGTTGTTCTGCTCTTTGGTTTGGAATCAAATTCTGTTCTTTGGTTTGGAGTTCAAATCTGTGTAAGCCATGCCAACGTTACATACATAGTACACCTTTCGGTGTGTAATGCTGGTGTAACACTGGGAAAATTTAAAAGAAATTCTTGTAATTTAAAATCCTCTTGGCAAACTGCAGTGGACTTGCCTTGGAAATGCCATTGGCAGTTTTTCTCATGAATTTTCATCATTTTCAGTGAATGAAAAGGTAAGGAACTTGGGCATGCAGGCAACCTTATGATGCCTTCTCCTTTACTTTTTGTTGCTTGATGAGCAGTATGCTGCTCCTTTTGACCTTGGGTGGAGGTTCTTTTTCCAGCTGCATAGCCCAGTTTTTCAGTTGTATATCCCAGCTCATTCCGCAGCTTCCCACACCAGGGAAATTATTTTACAATTTTTTTTTTTTCTATTATCACTCCATATCTGTTCAACCTTGTATAAAATTATGTTAATTCTGTGTACATGCTGCGTACCAGATGCCAAAAGCTTTACCTGTTGTTTCAAGTAGAACATCAACATCCCAGCTAGCTCAGACATACTAGTGTGTTCACTAGTAAAACCAATGTAGATTTTGGTGTATTTGCTTCCTATTTGCTGCAGTCAAACCCTCAGTACCTCCCAACAGTTATCACTCGGTAGCTTTTAAAAGAGCAAATGCTGGTCCACAAAATCTGAAATGTGCTGTCTCAAATTTGGTGTTGGTAAGCACTAAATTTTAGCATCCATTGCTTTTTGTCTTAGAAGTACTTGACTCCCTTCTCCCAACCTGCGTATTCGTCTTGTGCTGCAGTATTGTCGCCATAGGCTTTGTTTTGTGTTTCTTCTCCTTATTACAACCTCTTTCTCTCTCTTTGTTTCTCTCTGTAGAGTAGTTGAGAAGATACATTGCAAGCTGCTCTGATGGACCATCAGGTCTGAACTCATGGAAGTGATGACACTAAACAGTGCAATGAACATTTTCTTTATTTATGTACTATTAAAAGAACTGTAAATGCAATGTAAAGACACACAGCCACACATATCCCACAGATACTTTAGTTGTGTTCTTCTCTTTAATACACCATCCACCTTAAACTATTCCTTGTCAGGAGTATGTAAAAAAAAAAAAAAAAAAAAAAAATTACCCTCCAGGATGAAAAGGATTTCCTTCTGTATATAATTTCTTTTGTTGCATTGCTATGCAAGCTCACCTTCTTTTTAGCTATGTTCATATTCATGTCTGTTTTTATTGGTCTGTTGTACTATATGTGAATTAATAGGCTGTGGTGCCATATAATAACTTTTAATTGTGTAACTTTTATGTTTAAAGTTTGCACTGCAATTTTATTTGGTGATAAGCACAAAACTCTACTCCTCATGACATGAAGAAAAAAGAGACTGAATGTGTGTGAAGAAGGTTTACGTACTCTAAGGTACTTTGGATAATGCTGGATGTAAAGGAGTATGTTAGGTGGTTTTCCATTGGGGTGTAGAAATGTGAAAGTGACAGGCAAAACTGATGTCAGTGAAGACATTAGAGAGAGATTTAAATCTTTTAAAAGCAAGCAACATAGTTGCTCTTCTTATTTAAGAAGGGGTCAGAAGTTGGAAGTGTGAGGTTAAAGCGTGAATATGAAAATTAAAGGTAGCATGAGATGGCCTAGACCCTTTCACTAGAATGATGCCCTTAGTATCTGTTTTTAGCCATCCTATGCCATTAAGTGAAGGGGAGAAAAAACAAACTTGATACAAACAAAAGAACTGAAGGTGTTTCACTAAAGCTGTTTTTATATTGCAGTTTTAAAGAATTATTACCATTATTTCTCCAACTCAAAATATAAGAGACATTTCCCAGGAGAAACAAATAATATAAACTCAAGGAATACTTAGTAAGTAATTAAGGATGCAATTTTTTATTATGACATATTCAGGCTGCTGCCAAAATATTGAAATGTCAGAGTATCATATTTCATCTTTCCAATACATGTACAGTACAATAGAGGATAGAGCTGCACCACTGAAATTCATGACATTAATTGCTTTGATGCAGTCTAAACAAACTTTTGTCTTCTGTTAACTGAAGTCTGTGAGAGCTGAACCTGGATCCACTAAATTTCTAGTAAAATGTTTAGTGCTTGGAAGGAGAGCAACGGTCAAATTATTTTCGGCTTGCATTAAGTACATTTCTGGCAATACAATACATCCAAAAAGCTGGATGTGAGCAAAGAAAATCTTTGACCTGTGTTTTAGTGAGTGGCTTCAAACCCCACTATGATGAGGAAATAATGCATGTTTATACACTTTTTGAATAAAACAGACTCTGTAAGTGGACATTAATGACAGCATCCTGTCTCTTCATTAATTTTCATGACTTTGTCCAAATCTTCTGTACCTCTCAAATCTCAATAAGTAAATTGTCAAACTTTTCTTAGAATATTGTATGTGGGTAGCCCACTCATTTGCTGCTTAATTTAAGTCTTGCATCCTACAGTTTATTTCTGTTAGTTATCTGACCATGAACACAAGTTTCCATTTGAATACCCTTTTTGTATAACCAGTCTATGTTGTTTTCTATATTGCCTTGGAGCTTACCAGTATTAAGAACATTTTTAGTCATGGCAGAATTTTAGAAAAGTAAATTACAGTGCTAAATACGTGTTGCTTTTCATTTCATTAACTTGTTCCATGATAAGATAAAACACTACAGTCATCAACTCAGCACTATCCAATACTAAAAAAATGCTAGTTAACTTCCTTAAGGTGAAGACTGTTGTTCAACAGGTTATAAACAAAAAAAAAAAAAAAACAAAAAAAAACAACCAAAAAAAAACACTTTGAGGAAAAAAGTATACATTGATTTATATATGACCGATGAATATATGTAATTTTCCTGCTTGTTAGACCATTATAGTTAAAACATTTTCTTTAAAGCGTGCAAAAATTCTCAAGCAAGACAAAGAAGTCATCATATTTACAAATATATGTCTTTTAGTTTGGTATTATCATATGAAGAGAAGACTAGTCAGGGTGAAATTTAAATTCAATTCTCTGGCAAATATTTAACTCAGTCACCAGTAGATTTTTTTTTTTTTTCCTTTTAATTCGAAAGCTTGTGCTGAGCTTTGGTGGAACACCTTACTCACTATATTCTCTTCAAAATCCAGTATCATTAGACAATGATAAAGCCATCCCAATTACTTTCAAATAAGTGTTTTATCTCTTCGACTGGAAAGTAAATGTGTGTCAGTATTAAAGCTGTGCAGTACCATGATATTCACTAACTTGTCCATCTGCTTCTGTACATTTTTGTTCATTAATAATTTGCTTACAATATTACATGAGGTGTTGCTGTGTATCGCAAAGTGTCTCCATTATCTTACAGGTGGTGTCTCTTCTTTTTTTTTTTCTCTCTCTCTCTTTTCTATACAGTGTACTTCCAATGAACCACAGTACATATTTTTTAAAATGACGTTTAATTTACTATTTTAAAAGAAGTATTCTTTTTTTTAAAAAAATTGAAAACATTTATTGTTAATAATGTGTTTAAAGAAAAGGGATGTTGTGGCAGCACTTAGAATTGGTTTTTAATTTTTTTTTTAAAAAACTGGTTATTTGCTACAGTTTGTTCACGGAAAAGTATGACCTCTTAATGTGTTTCATTGGTATTGTTAGTGCAGCAAAGTTTAATTGGCATAAAAAGTTGGTTAATAGTACTGTTGAAGTGTGTATTGTATATTTACTGGGGAAAAAAAAATAAAACATATTCACATTTCAAATCTATGTTAAAAGACCTTGAGTAAGGAGTCAATATGTGTAAACCCAAACTGGGAAAATCAGGCAATAATAACATAGACTGAGCTATTATCATCACTGTCCACTTACAGGTAGCAAGGAACATTTTATACGCTGCTGTTTGATCTAAGCTGGGAGTTGTTGTTTAAGTAGGCCAGTAGTAAATATTGCCTGTCATAGGGATTTCTGTTTAAGGTCCTGTCGATATTGTGAATAGTTGTACCAGTGTAATTGCACTGATACAGCTATTCTAGTGATACATTCTCTGTAAACATACTATCTCCATATACAGTAAGGACCACAAGTGCACAGTTTACTTCGGTTAACGCCTGTAAGTAGCGGACATGTAAAACCTCTGTTCAGTGGGTCTGAACCCTTGAACTTAGGGGGTTGTACTGGTGGAGCTACTGCCAACCCAGTACAGAGTATCCCCAGAATGTATAGATAGATACTAGGTCAATTTTTCTTGATCTTTGCATTGAATATATGCTCAATTTTAAATGCAAAAGGGCTGAAGGACCAAATAATAGGTTGTTACATGTGCTTCAGTGGTGTATTGCTGTATGGGCAGCCATTTCAGTGATGCAAACAACAGACATTTCTGTTATTTTGTTATTTCTCAAGTCCTTATCCAAGTCAGTAAAACTTTTGAATAACTTTTAGTTGCCATCTGAAATACAACAGAAACACCTTTCGTTGAAAAAAGTACAAAAGAAAAGGAACATGAAACGTTTTGAGTATATGGATTTAACTATACACCAGTGCAAAAAGGAAGGCATGACTGAAATAATGATATGTTGGTTTATGCTTACCTCAGCCCATACATTGCCAGCCAGGAGAAAAGGTCTATACTCAGGCTGAGAAAGAGCTCTCACAAGTGACAGAGGACAGGTAAATCAGGTTGGAGGAGATTCTGGCAGGAACTTTTTTTTTTTAAAAAAAAAATGCAGGCAGCCTCTTTGGCTTTTCTACGAATTATGCAACTTCGGGGTTTTTTTAATAATTAATGGCCGTGTGGAAATTTAGGAGGGG